AACACTTGAAACTGCATACTGAACTTTTTCGAAGAAAGATGTCTCCAAGCAAAATTTCAGCGAGTTAGAAAAGCTTGAAATAGTTGGCAAAGTTGAAAACAATTATTGCGATCTTGTGAATGCGCTACCGGTGGTAGACAATAATGTCGTAGATGTTGCTTACCAAAAAACGAGAAATGCAACAAATAAGAGAAGTAAGACTGCGTCTAGTATATGATATCATAATCACTCATGCGACTTCGTTGTTGATGCTAGAAGGAACGTAATGTCCTGCGCGGGTATGCGCATCGTAATATATATGTCAAATTAGCTTCTGCATCTTCAATATGTACTGGTTCCACATGCATTTCCCATAGAGAAGAATTGAGATGAAGCTTTACTTACTGAAGCCAATTGTTCCAAAACTGGATTGCGGTCAAACATAGCACTGATAAATTGAAGCTGCGCTCTTAAACGTGATGGTGAGTCTGCATGCGGTGGATGAAAGCCAGCTTACCCATCACCGGCATTTTTCGCCATCTGAGCAGCTTGAGGCTCAGTCAACTCCATGAAGAGGAATTCAAGGACAAGTTCGTCCGCGAGTGCAACAGCGCCTTCAGTTTTGCTGCTGGCTTTTGAAAGGTTTGCATCCATACGCTGTTCAGTTGCTTGACGTCCTGCAGCAAGACGAGGTTCCATCGCGTAGAATTAGTGGCTAGTATTATCCCAGTTGAAAATAAACGTACCCTATTCATTTGAGATTTATATAGGGATAATCAGTTGCTATCATATCAAGATAAATTTATTCCAACAACGAAAACGACTTACAGTTAGTAAGGAAGACAGCTGAAAGCGGTAGATGATCTTCTCCACGTACGGGGCACGCTACAATTGGCAACTTCGCACCGCACATCTCTGCCCTTCTCTCACGTTCATGTGATGGCATTACATATTAGACAACACATGAGAAAACACCGACTTTAACGAAGGAGAGAGCAAGCGCGAAGCATGTGCGAACGCAGCGTCAAATGTTGTTGTAAAAGCCGAACGCTCTCATACATCTTCCTTCGTCATAAACCTTCGTCTACTAGCCTTCACATTATTTTTGTCAGTGGACCGCGCAGCAATTTAGAATGAAAAGAAATTGAGAACGATACTCTAATTTGCTGTGGTCAAAATTCTGTGTTTGTCATTTGATATCAAGGTAAACTGACGCTTGAATGGAACACATTTTCAAAGAATGTCTTTTTTGTATCCATTGTTGCTTAAAGAGGTGTGTCTAGGAAACGCATGGCAGTAGTGTACAGCAACATGAGAATTACTCAAAATACTTGCTCAAACTGAGGTTTTTTGGAGTGTAACTCTTTACTAATCAGTTTTACTGCAACTGTAGAAGTGATATATATTGACATTTTCGGGACACGTCATGCCCGCTTGATCCGCTTCACCAACTTAGTGTAGAACGCGCCGTAAGTAATTTGTCATCAGGCATCACGTGCAGCAACTATGCAACCATACAAATTTTTTACCTACGCGACGCCACATGTGAAGTAGTTTGCGCGATTTACACGAAGTGAAACAAACGATGGATAGATGGATCAATTACGGCATGTGTCTTGACCGAGCCATCTAGCCACACCTATCTCAGCAAGAATGGAAGACACAGAATTGCCGAGAACGTGAGCTGTCGCGCTCATAGCAACAAGACACTATAGTGTCTCTCACACGATATCTCAATATTGATCAAAGGTATATCAAGACAACCAACTCTGTTTCTTCTTTGTGTTTCGATAAAAGTTGATCCTTTATGTCAATCAAGAGATATCCCTTGCTTTTATCTCGTTTTGCCCTGCAAGTGTCAAAGCTTTTGTATTATTGATGGTGGCCCTAAAAATCAATGAGCAGACCGTGCATATGAACATTACTGTTGGATGCATGATGTTGACGGCTGAAGCTGTAAAC